TGCACAATGCCTTAATGACTAAATGACCCTCAAATGACCTGGGTCATTTCTAAATGACCATGGTCATTTGGTCACGAACCATTTCCAAATGACCTAAAATTGAAATGACCGACAATGACCAATCATTTCGGGTCATTTAAAAAATTTGCAAATGACCAGGTCATTTACCATCACTGGTCCGGAATGTCTATCACTGGATAAATTCATGGATTAGCATTGTTTTTTTTACAATGATGTGCATGCATCAATTATTTTTCTCATCTTTACTAAAAAAAATCGAGATAGCCCTTCTATTAAAGTATAAAGCCGTCATACGTACGTACGTACGTATAAACTTGGCAGTTTCCGCCGGCCATGTACATTTTCCTTAATATATATCAATAGTTCTGTATGTACAGAACTTGGAAACCTGTCTTCTGAAACAGTTGTTTTCTTGAAAAACGCCGCATGCAGAATTTACCCTACTAAAAAGGAAAGGCACAGTAATTCCAGCATTTACGCCATTTACAAGATACGGAGTTACGTACGTACGTCCCTACAATGATAATGGTAAACGGTATAGTATTACTATGTTTGTACTCGGATAAAAATATTACATAATACTCGTCGTTGTCTTCTGCGTAATTAGAATTGTTTCCAGAATCATTAACAAGGTTCAACTTTTACTCGTATTAAGGATAATACGTATAAGTCGAATAAATGACAAAAAAAACAAAGATTAATTCCTCATATATCTGTTGGTATCTGGTGTAGTCGCGTATGTACGTACGTACGTACGTACATTATAGTGATGTGCCATTGAGATGATAGTCTAATTTTTTTCGCGTACAGTTGCCTCTGAAAGTTCATTTTAGGACGGTTACACAAGAAATATAAAAAACGAATTAATACAATACGTATTAGAAATTTTGATTTTTAATATCGATATGTTTCTGTGTAATCGGAAGTATACGTAGTGTTTTATATGGGCTAATTCAGAACATTTTAAACCAACATACAGGTTCTTATTTACATGTAAATCATTTTTTGCTCTTATTGATTCAATAGCTTATTAAATAAACGTTTGAATCAATAATGTCAAAGCAAATAAGTACCGGTATATTTGTCCGAATTAGCCCGATCGGAAAATGTCGAAGGATGATTTTCATCCATATAATGTAGCAGAGGAATAAGGCGTAGAGTAGGGATGTTATTCTGCTTCAACTGGTTAGTTTGTGCTTAAAAACTCGTTGAAACACTGTTTGAAAGCATAAGAGAGGGTCGGGTATTCTGGCACGGGTGGGTATCGTGGCGCACCTATGTTTTTTGATGATATTTTGCGATACATTCGATACGTTTTACTGAGACGAATCGAATGATACAAAAATTAATCAATTCTGATCAAAGCTTCAAGAAAGCTAAGTATTATGATGTAGTTATTATGCTTTTTTCTCTTTTTCTCTTTGGGGCAGTTGCAGGAAGAGATCAGCAAAATATCAAATATAAAAAGAATATCTTAACACAATATGAATATAACACTTTTTAGATAGATTTTGAAGTTTCAAATATCAACCTAATTTATTAACCTCCATAACAATCAATAATACCCATTAATACCATGTCTTTATGCAGGGGCTTGCGCATCCTCTCCAGACAATCGATTACGTATTGGATTGATTGTTTTTTTTGCCTTCAAAAACATTTCTTCGCTTTGTTGCTTGTACAATCAAATAGTCCTGTGTCGCCACAATAAATTAACTTTTATTAACTTTTAATTAAAATTAGCAAAAAAAAAAACTAATTTTCGTTAAAAGTCTAAAGTTACGTAATTACAAATCAAGCATTTTGGCTCATTTAATCGATTTCGAACTCGTTTTGAGCATGAGGAGTTTAAATATGATAATGAAATCACGTGTCTCAGATTTAACTCAAGGCAAAACTTCTATAGAGACAATAATATAATACCTTTAGTTGTTAAACAATATAAGCGAAGGTCATAGTCATATAAATAAGTATACGAATTAAAGAAATTTTGTATAATGTGAGATACGCAAGATACATTAATAGTAGGAGTTGATTTTAGAGGTAGAATTTATAGTAAACTTACATATAACTTTGAAAAATGATTGCCGGCAACGTTATATTTGTTATACTTAATAATAATTAGAAATTTACTAATTAATTAAATAAGTGATTCAAGTTTGCAAATATTTTAAAAAAGATTCTTTATAAATAAATATCACCATATGGTACTGCTCATATAACTATGTTTGATTCTATTGCTAAGTAGGCAGTATTCAAGCTAAAACATTTATTTAATGTTTAAAATAACCACAGCGTATTATATTTTTTATTTGTGTTATTTAGTTGTGTAAAGATTTTAATCAATGCATTAAAAAATTTGTAAATTCACAAGTTTATTATCTAGATTTATTAATTTTTATTTTCTCATATGTTTATTTATTCTCTATAATAAAAAAAATAAAAAAAAATTATATTAAAAAAAAGTAAAAGGGTAGATTAATACGTATAAAGTAATTATACTTTTAGTCTACTTTAGTCGGTTAGAACTTATTCAATATAATCAAAAATTGATTTTCATTTTAGGAAACTCTAACACTAACATTAATAATAGGATTTATTTTGGTCTATCTAATTCAATTTGATAATGATAATATTTCATAAACGAATCCATTTGAATAAATAAGCGAATCAAATATAACATCTCATGCTTGGATATAGTTAGGTCAGTGCCGATAGTACACGTACAAGTAATAACTCAAAAATACTACCGGTACTAAAACAAATTGTTGCTTTAATACATTAATTAAAAATGTTTAACATCAAATCAAATTTTGTGTGTAATTTGTTTCCTAATTCATATAAAAGTATTGATGTGTTTGAAGATGGACAAGGGACAATTATGTACTGTACATCAACTCTGGGTTTACGATTTACAATTCATTGAGTCGTAATAAATAAAGTTATACGTTATCAACAAAAACAGAAATAGGTTAACTCATTTGGATGCTTATAAATAAAAACTTAGCCTTTTTAGGGATGAGGCTTAATTAGAATGAATATCCATTCATGCAAATGCTTTAGAATGTTTTTGTCATACTTTATGATTGATAAAATTTCGTGCATAACTCACGTAAACAATAATTAGTCCAAATTCAGATATTTAAAATAGTCCAAGATCAGGTTTCTTTACAACCACCATCATTTCAATTATGTCTTTCGTAATAGATGCTTTCACTAAGGTCAAAAACAACATTGAACATTTTGATGAAAAAGATTGGCATAATTGGGGTCAAAACCAGAAATGTACTCCTGCTGAAATCTTCCGACCTGTTAATTTACATGATTTAAAATCAATCGTAAAAAAAGCAAAGGATCATAATAAGAAAATTCGTTGTGCTGCCGCTGGTCATTCTTGGAGTAGTCTTAGCGTTACTAATGATTATTTAGTAATAGTTACTGATTTGAATGATATTGAGATTCAATATAATGAAAAGTTGAAAACTTGGACTGCCACCACCGAAGCAGGTAAGGAAGGGCTTTCTTAAGTATACTAGATAAAATACTAGATAAATGTTTCGGATTTTAATATTTTAATTCATCCATTTGATTTCCATTTGATTTCCATTTGATTTATAGGTGTATACCTTAAAGATCTTGATGAAAAATTGAGGAAACATAACCCTCCATTAACGTTAAATTCGGCGACCGTACTGAATACTGTAACAACCTCTGGCATTGTATCAACTGGTTCTCATGGTGCAAGATGTGCAAATTCAAATATCCCGGATCAAGTAATCTCTTTTCAAATTGTAACAGCCGATGGTGAACTTCGTGAATTTTCTGATGAGATTGATCATGCGGAAATGCTTGCTGCTAGAATTAGTTTTGGTATTTTGTTTTCATTTTTTAACCAAAGAGGAAAACCACATAAAATTATTTACTTATCATATCCGGCCTTTAAAACATTTATTCTGCGTTAAAGGTCTCTTAGGAATTATATATAAACTCACTTTTAAAGTCGAACCAATGTTTAATTTGATAATGAAAGATAGCTTCCCGTACATTACAGATTATTGGAAAGCATCAACCCTCAAACATGAGGTGTTAAATAACGATAGTGTTGAAATTTTTTATTGGCCATTCAATACCCCTGGTCTTGAAGAAAAGAATGATAAACTTTGGGTAAAAACTTGTAAAAGAACCGATTTAAATGTTACAGTGAATGAGACCGAAGATAAACTGTTGTCGGCCTTCCAAAATTTTGAACTCAAATTTGGTGATCATCTTTATGAACACGTCGCTAAATTTCCGGAATCTACCCCATACATTACAAATCTTCTCTTTGCTGTTGGTGTTGAACATGAAGGTGAAAATATTCTACAAGCACCTGATGCTATTCATTATCAGGTATTCTTCTTAATTATTAATTTTAATTATTAATTTTAAATATTAATTTTATATGTTAATTTTAAATATTAATTTTAAATATTAATCTTAAATATCTTAACCATTTTATACTTTAATTTTTTTCTCAAATTTTCATAGGGTGGTATCGATAACATTCCTTGTATGGACCTTGAATTTGCTTTCAAAGTCAATCATGTAAGTAGACATTTAAAGAAAGAGATTGGAATAAATTATCGAATAGAATATTCACTAGGAGTCAGTTATATGTTAAATTTACATACGTACATAATATTCTGACTTTATATGCAGAGTATCCATATAATGATCCGATTTGATTATGATACTCGAAAAATTCGAGTTTATGATAAATTAAGGATCACTTGCAGTATAGATGACCTAACTCATATCGATAATACATTTTTAATAATAAAATACCTATAATGCAATAGATCCTAAATTAATGTTTGAAATTCATCAATTCCAATCTCTAATTTAAATCACAAAATATGTGTTTGATCATAACATACGCCAAACTAATGATTATACTAAACAATTCAAGGATTTTTCAAATGTCATCGACGAATTTAATTATATTATTAGACGGGTAATGTTTATAAAAAATGTGTAAAATATTGTAAAAATATTCCTAACCTTTTTTCTTCTTTCGTCTCTTAGGTATATGAATTTGCTGCAGAAAACAAGTATCCATTAAATCTTGCAGCAGAATTTCGAATTAATAAGGCGTCCAAATGTCTGCTTGCTTCGACATATGATGAAGATCCAAATGCATATTACTGCTTACTCGAAATCTTGTCTGTTAATGGTACTAAAGGTTTCCTTGAATTTACTATTGAATTGGCTGAAAGATGGATGAAGAAATATAATGCTCAACCACATTGGGGTAAAATGTGGGAACACGTACCTGGTGTTATTCCACATGTACGTAAGTATATGGGAGATCGTCTGGACAAGTTTGAAAATGTTAGGGCGAAGTACGATCCTAATGAAACTTTCTTTGACAATGATTCTTTGAGAAAACTTTTTGGCAAATAATATAAATTTTTTTTGAGTATAATATGAATTTAGTTTATTTATATTTATTAAAACCTCTATGCCCTTATTAATATTTCTAAAAACATAAATTATTGTTTTTTTTGTTTTTTGTAACATATTGGATAATAACAAATAATTTTGTCAATTATTTTTGTGAAATCTGTAGTTTGGCTTAAATTATAAATGTAAAAATTATTGTTATCATTATTAAAGAATCATATTTTGTCGTGCATCGGTTTAAAGCATTTTACGGAAATCTGTAAAATTCCATTAAATTCATTATTTTTTAAAAATTTCTACTTAAAAATCAAATTCCAAAGAATCCGTGTCAAATTCAGATTCTCTGGCGTATCATCCATTAGTGTACTATATTAGAATTTTATGCAATAATACACTTGACTATATAGTATAATTTTAAGTTTGCATTTTATTTCCCGTTATTTGTGATGCATGATCACAGTAATCACAGTAATTTGAAGTGTTCTTTATTCCAATGCCATAATTCTCTATACAAAAAGCTTTTTAATAGACCTATCTAGATATCGTGTTCCAGCACACTCTCTATGATTTCATAATGGAATTTATGTGTGGTTAATTACTTTTTTTCTTATTATTTGTTTTATTTATTTTTTTCCAAACTTAAAAGTTTGAACAAAGCTAAAAACATGTAACAAGTATATAAGTGTCGCCAAGAGAAAACTCGCAAATCTTATCTAATAAGATTTGTGGGTTTTCTTTTGGTGGCACTCATATATAGTTGTACCACTTTTTAATCACAGTTGAGAATTGTTTTAAAAAAGTGCTTATATCGGCCGATTTGTTTTAATCCAAAAATCAACCAGTCATAATCGAAAAAATTTTACATGAGAATTTGTTACGAAGCAAATTTTCACAAAAATGGTCTTTTTAACCAGCTTAGTATTTATAATTAAATATGTAAAAAATTATGAAATTCATGCATTTAGTTATAAGCCAAAAGTAAGTTAAAAAGGTTTTTTTTGTTCAAATTTACTCTTGATAGTTACCAACCCATCAAACAATGCATACTCCATCTTAAAACATTCTAATATTTCAGCAAATGGTAAAGTGCTTCTTCTTTCAACTTAGTATAGCTTTTTATTGATTTTTATTGGTTTTTTTTTATCTTGTATAGATATTAAAAAAATCTTTTTTATTTTTATTTATTCAGCATGTTTTGCTACTGTTTTATTGAGATATAAACTATGCTAAAAATTACAAGAATTTTTATCTATAGTTATTATCTATCTAATCACAACAAGTGACTCTCTTGATTTTGACAGCCCAGGTATGATATTGTTTAGTAGTTTTTTGTCTTCTTCCAGGTCTCTAACTTACTAGAAGTTTGAATTCTTTAATCATTAGCTGGTGTTACATGCTGTATCAGTATTATCTTTTCTTTTTATAGTAATAAAATATATACACAAATTTAAATGACAAAACAAAGAAAAAGAAGAAGATATTTTGACATCAAAATTCAATCTACCTAATCAAATAAAACAAAATAAAACAAAAAGAAAATAAAAATAAAGAAAAGAAACAAAGATAGTATTATTAAACCTGTACAAAATTATAAAAACTTATATAGTATTATTAAATAAGTTAGTTAAGTTTTAAATTAGCTGAGACGCAAATTACTAACTCTTTTCAACAATCACTTGTACCAAATTTTTCTTGAAAACATTTGTTATTTACTAAAAATTTTATTAAGTAAACTACTTTTTGCTATCTAAGTAAAGTTGTTCTACACTTAATTTTACTTATAAACAGTCTTGTATTATAGTTTCAAAGCCCTTTGTTCTTGAGCTATAATGATATTCTTACAATTTTACTCTTTCTTTATTTGCTTTAAATTTTACTAAGTAAATCTATATTGTTTCTTAATAGAAAAGGATTAAGCTCAACAAGAGCTTCATTTTGATATATAATACTTCTTAAATGGATAAAAATTACAAATTTTATAGCTAAATTACTTTAAACTCTGTTACAAAAACTATATTTTAAATTTTGTTAAATTTTTTTCTATTTTTAGGGAATTCTACTTCTCTAGGATGCCCAAAATTGTAGATCCTTATTATTAATCAATATTATTAATCAATTTACACAATTTAGCCTCTTGTTACATCTACTTTTATACAAAAACTAATCTTACTTTTTTTGGTTTTAGTAAATTTACACAAATTTTACTTCCCATCGATTCTGTTGATCTGCTTATTATGACACTGGGTTATATACTATTTGTCACACCCTTTACTTGCCATATTTTCTTATTTGTTATATTCTTTTATTTGTCATATCCTCTTATTTGTTATACCCTTTTACTAAAACTACTGTACCAAATTTCATCTATCACCATGCCTACCTTAATCTTCGCAGAATCAAACTCTTATAACCTTGATTATTACCATAAAAACTACCAGGACCATTAGGGCAGTGTCATTTATCACCTGATTATTTTTTATCAGAGGTTTATCTACTCTCTCCTCTTCTTAATATAAAAAAAAATCAGGTTCTTATATATAATTTTAACTTTTTTACCTCTCCTCCCTAAAAAATCAACTGATTTTTGTCACGTTCCTTATGGACTAAGAACTACTAAAAAACAAATTAATGCACTTCAAGTTCTTCCAGCAGCTTTTAAACCAGAAGCTTGTGACTTGATCAAAAAACAATATTTTTTTCAAGTATCTCTTCAACCTTCTATTAGCAAATACTACTGTATTAAATATCACACAAGTTTTACTTCTGAATATTACAGAATTATATATATACAACGTATATCTATTAGAGAATATACAACTACAACCTCTAGTATCTCTATTAACCAACTAACCAAATATTGTAATACTCTTCCAAAATCACCTATTACTAAAACACTAGCCTAAAAAGAATCCTACCAAGCCAACTTATATATACTTTTTTCTAATTTTCAAACTAATCCCAATCCTATAGCTATCACACCACACTTGCAACACTACCATACTTGTATTTTTTGCAGAACTAAAAATCTTTCTTGTATTTCTACAAATCAAAGTAAATATACACCCGATTATACTATAGCTGGCCTCTTCAAAAATCGGTTAATCCACAGAACATGTATAGTACATGTTCCAAACATGAAACTTAAACCTCTTGCTCAAACTGCTCCTCTCAAATTTACCCAAAAAATGGTTATCATACTTATTAAAGCAAAACAAGAAATACCCCTTACTCCTCACCAAGCTATTATTATTTCTCTAATCAAACTCCGTAATCTTTCTTCTAAGAAAAAAGGCCAGATTTTGGCTTTTTTATTTTCTAAATAACAACAACAAGAGCAATATCAACAACAACAACAACAACAACAACAACAACAGTTAGATAAAAAAATTAATGAAGATAAACAGAAACACAAACAGGACTAAGAACATCAACAACAACAAAAACAAGAATTTAAACCAAAGCGCAATACTTCTAATGACCTTGATTGGTTTCAAAAATATCCAATTACTGAAACGATGAAACTAAATACCAGATTTGACAACACACTTGTATACCAACTTTTCGAATTTATTAGACTCTATCTTATTGAAAGTTACCTCAGTAAAGTTATCAAACTAGCAACCTAATTTTTTAAAGAACTCAAATTCACATACTCCTATCTGATTAAAAAGATAGCTAGACTAAGACCTCAATTTCTTATTAATTTTATTCATGAGAATAACCTAGACATTAACAAGGCTATCTTTATCCCTTTTAATATTCTTCACTCTACTCTGGAAGGACTACTAAAAGAATTTACTAAGACTCTTTTTACCAAACTTGATTACTCTAAGATTCTTACCTCCTACAATTCTGTTCTACCTTATACCTTTGCTAATCACAATTTAGTAGCTTTAAATCTTGCACGATTACATCTTGTCTTTAATAAAAAATATACAACAATCAATACAAGAAAATTTTGCAAAGATTTAAATATATGCTCTATTAGATTTAGACTTCACTACTATATTAGTGAAGATGCTATAAACTAATCACTTCTCAAAGTGCAAAATGACAACCTATTTAATATCAATATCTTCTTAAATATACTCAAATATCACTTTCTTGATACTTTTCAAATTCCTTCTTTAAAAGAACACTTACCAGAATTCAATATATAGTTTGATAAATTCCTTAATATTTACAAATATCAATTTTCTAAAATTGATGAGAAAAAAGTCAAAAACACATCAAA